AAAGCTTTTATCAAGTGCTTTATAATATAATATAGATAATGGTCTCATTCCCCTAGAAGCTCAAATTTTCATTCCAGATTAAACTGGAGGGAATGAAAATGTATTCCAATTTTCATTCCCTCTCATTTTCATTTTCATTCCCCAACATGAACCCAACAGTCCCTTAGATTCTTGTTAATCAACTCAATTAAGGTGGTGTTATGATGTTACTAATTTTTATTGTTTAAATAACTTAATTTTGCTTAGGATAATAATCGATTTTGGTCATCGGACATGTAACTCAATTGACAAAAGGTCGTCCTGAGATTAGTCATCGGGCCTGTTTAAATTCAAGGAGGAATAAAAATCCCTTTGTAGCCACAGAAGTTCAAATACAATGACTTTGGGCTACCCTCAAAGCAGATGGTCGTCTTGAGATTAGTCAGCTCACATAGCGGGTTAAATATCCAGGTTAATAAAAAAAATACTCATTATCAAATAAAGAGACTACATATGTTAAAAAGAAGGTAAAAAGAAAAAGTTATGGGAAATGATTATTTGTGAATTATTAATAAATTCAGAAAAAAATAATGTATTTAAAGATGCATATATGAACCGACGTTACAGATTATTCAACACATGCAACTTTAAATGATTTTTTTTTCTCAATAATTCACATATGAACTTTGATTTTTTAACATCTTGCGATACGTAGGGACCGTTTACGAAACACTTACTCAGTAAATGCTTATCGGCTCACTTACTTTATCAGATGTACGTGACAAAGACTCATAATCTTACCCGGTAAGAATGATGACAATAATGAGGATGACGGCTCTTACCAGGTTAGCGTTTATCAGATAAATTTGGACTAAAATCTTATCCAGTAAGATAAATAAGAGTATCGACCTACATCGATAAAAGCTTACTGAGTAAACATTTAGGTAAACAACTCCAGTTTTATTATTAGGAAATCATGTTAACAAACTTTAAGGTAAAAGTTTTCATGTATCTCACAGATTTTACAGTTTTTAAGTATAATCTAATTTATAGTGCTTTTATTTTTTTAACTAGAAGGTTCTCGTGCAATGCAGCGAAATAAATCTCGATTTTAATGTTTAGTTTTTATTCTGTCTCTATCATAAAATACGATTTTATGTAGTTTTGAGAAAGTGATAATGTTTTTATTTTTGAATTAAATATGAATTTGAAGATAACATAAAATTTTGAAGAGAGTATAAAAATTTGAAAAAATAAATCGATATTAGTATCAAATTAATTGTTTAATAGTTCTCTTTTTTGGTGTAATTTCTTTAATTCAAACTTTTATTATAAAGTAGTTTAGATTTAATAACAAAGTAATTTATTTTTGGTTTAACAATATAATATTTTATAAAAATAATAATTAAATATTTTGTTAGAACTTAATGATTATCTTAATTATATTTTAAATTTTCTATATTTAAAATGGATGTTTATCATGTATTTAATTATGTTTATATGCAGTTGGTTACACGAATTTAAAAATGGAACTTTAATAAGTTGTATCTACTAAAAAATATTTGTAATCTTGAATTTTAAGTAATATGTATCCATAAACAATACTTTATACATAAAAAATAATTTTTAAGAGTTTTTGTTAAATGTTTTATAATATAACTAGAAGGGTACTCGCGCAATGCAGCGAAATACATCTTGATTTTAATATTTTATTTTATTTTTTTATCTCAATTTATGTTATAATATGATCTTATATGATTTTGAAAAAACGAAAATGCTTTTATTTTTACATAAAATATA